CTACCCAAATTTACTGGCGATCCTAATCAGAAAGTTACTCAGTTTATTAATGCTGTTGAACACATCGGTAGCTTCGCTGGATTGAATGAATTGATGCTACATTCTATCGCTACTATTAAATTAGGAGGATCTGCCTTTAATTGGTATGATAACAATAAAGACCATCTACAAACATGGCGAGATCTAAAACAACATCTTCTTTAACGCTTTAAACCATTTCTTTCTGCTATCAAAACGCGACTGAAGGAAAGAAAACAACAACCTGGTGAACTACTTAACGCCTACTATGATGATATTATTGATTTATGTAAACAAGTTGATCAAAATATGCCGCTACATATGATCGTTGATTATTTACAAGATGGTATGCGCAATGATTTAAAAATACACGTCAAACGTCGCCTCAAAACGCTCGATGATGAACCAACACCAGGTATTTTTTGGAAGATCGCTCATGATGAAGAAGAGTTACTGAACGAAATTCCTTCTGAAACCCAACAATCAATCTTTCCAACATCCCCATATTTTGCACCTGTCACTGCTGTCACTCAAAAACAACAAAGCAGCTCTGAAAATTCTCTTCATTCACAAATCCCTCAAAATACTCGTACCACAGATTACATGCACATTCTTAACAAATCACGTGCCTATCGTCCTCGTCCCACACAAACGAATCACTTCTATCCATGTTTGATCTGTCAACGATCAAATCATCGTACTATCGACTGCTATCATAGACAGCCACGTGGCTGTTACAAATGTGGTAACCATAACCATAATGTTCGTGATTGTCCCCAGGTTTTTCAATAACTGGGACTCAAGATGGCGGAGGTCTCAGTAATACTATGCCATCATTATCAACATTCTCAAACCCTTTTTTTATTCGTGCTCAAATCAATCACACCTATCATAATATTCTCCTGGACACTGATTCTAGTATCACTATTATCCATAATCAACTTTTACAACGCATATATCACAATACGTTTGAACCTTCACAAAATTCTTATATCTCGGCTAATTGTACCACGATCAACATAATCGGTAAAGTTCAACTTGAAATAAAAATTAACGGTCTCTCCACTTTTGTAACGGCTTCTGTTGCTTCGAGTCTCGTCCCTGATGTCTTAGTAGGCACTGACTAGATCAATCAATATGTTCTATATATCGATATCTCTACACAACGTTTAACTTTGCAAGATACTACAGGTCAAACTACCACCACTTCACTCATTCAATCGAACAATACATCATGTTGTACAGTCCGATTACTCGATCAAATTACTATTCCACAATACTCCGAATCTGTTATCAAAGCCGCAGTACATCTTCCAAATAGTTCAAATTTGTTGTTTGAACCGTCTTCAAGTTTTAGTCAAAAAGCAGTAGTACTTCCAACAGCTTTAATCAAAGTGACTAATTCTCAAACACACTTAACTATTATCAATACCACCAATCATCCATATATTTTACCTTCAAATACGTGTCTCGGTACTGTTTCTTCATCATTACTAATATGTGCAACAACATCACCATATCAATCTCAGTCAACACAATTTCGATCAGCAAAAATACGTCATTATTCTCTGAATTCATCACATAAATGCTACGTCTGTCATCAGAAATTTTTATCACAAAACAAACTTTTTCATCATCTTCGTGTACAATGCTATCCACAAGAATTACGACATCAAATTGAAACATTAACACAACACATCGACTCCGCCTCGCATCGCAAAAAAATCCAAGATGTCCTTTGGAAATACGGTAAACTGTTCGATCTACGTCAACCATCAAAAATCAATATCACTCTCGATCATGTGATCGATACCGGTCAACATCGACCAATATACACTCCACCTTATCGACGTTCACCTCAAGATCATCAAACTATTACCGAAGAAACAGACAAACTGTTAAAACAAGATAGTATCGAACCATCAACATCACCTTGGTGCTCACCTGTCGTATTAGTGTGTAAGAAAGATGGTACTACACGATTTTGCGTTGATTATCGAAAACTTAATGATATTACTGTCAAAGATTCATTCCCGTTACCTCGCATCGAAGATATTTTCGATCAACTGTCTCAATCAACATATTTCACCACACTAGACTTTAAAAACGGTTATTTTCAAATTCCATTAGCAATTCATGATCGTCCTAAAACGGCATTTTCCACTCGCGATAATCATTATCAATTCAAAGTCCTCCCTCAAGGTGTAAAAAATGGTCCACCTACGTTCCAACGCATAGTAAACCAAATTTTAGGTCCTGCTCGATGGAAACATTGTCTAGCGTATCTAGATGATGTCGTCATTTTTTCGAGAACTTTTGACGATCATGTTTCTCATTTGGATGAAATCTTTTATTTACTTCACACACACAATTTTCGTCTAAGTTTCGAGAAATGTACCATCGCTACTGATAGCATCAATTATTTGGGTCACCACATTTGTCGTGGAGAAATTCGTCCAAATAATGATAATATACGCGGTTTGTTGGAAACTCCAACGCCAACAACACCGAAAGAGATTTTTCGTTTTTTAAAAGGAGCCGAATACTACCGTAAATTCATTTCCAACTTTTCCCGTATTGCTAGTCCTTTATATAAATATAATCCTTCCAACTCTACACATCCATCTAATACTAAACCTACAATTTTTACATTATCGGCTGACGAACAAGCTGCTTTCGAACAAATCAAACACATACTCACTACCGACCTTGTTCTTCGACTTCCCAATAATCAACTTCCTTTTAAAATACAAACAGATGCTTCACAACTTGGTATCGGTGCTGTTTTATTACAAACCTATCCTGAAGGTGATCGTCCTATATGTTATATGTCTAAGAAGCTTACACCTGCTCAACAACGCTGGTCTCCTATTGAACAGGAGTGTTATGCGATCGTCAAAGCTGTTGAATTATGGCATCACTATTTACACGGCAATCATTTCATCTTAGAATCTGATCATAAACCATTAGAAGCACTCATGCGTAAATCTCAAACGAACGACAAATGTGAACGATGGCGTTTGCGGCTACAATCATACAACTTCACAATAAAACACATCAAGAGTAAATCAAACACCATGCCTGATTATCTATCTCGATCACCAGTGGATCACGCTGAAGATGACATTGACGATAACGTTATGCCAACTTCTGCCTCTATCAGTACTCAAACTGATACAAGTGACCACGACACTTTTTCAACATCATCAATTGTCGGTATGGTCACTACTCGTTCTCGTTCTCGTCAATTACCACAATCCGATAATCATATTACCACTCCACCAAACACCAATCGCTCTGACGTTCAAAATCATCAATCCACATCATCAACTTCTAAAACTACTACTGATAGTGCACGTATTGAATATACTGGTGCTACTGATCAATTGAAACAAGCACAACAGAAGGACCCTGATCTACAATACATAGCGAATCATCTTAATGATAATAAGTATATTAACTCTTATCTTTTACAGGATGGTCTCTTAATGCATTATGAACAACACTCAAAACCTGTTCCATGTGTTCAGAAAGGAGAAATTCGAAATGATATTATGAAAATCTATCATGATACTCAAGCTGACGGCGTACATTTCGGTCGTGACAAAACTATAAAGAAAATCAAAGCTCGATACTATTGGAATACCATGAACAGCGATATAACTAATTATGTTAAGTCATGTATTCGTTGTAATCAAAATAACCCTATTCGCTGTAAACCTCCTGGTCATCTGAAACCGATCGAACCACTGAAAGGAGTTTGGCACTTATTATCAATGGGTTTTCATGGACCAATTACTCCTACTAGTCGACGTGGCAACAAATACATTATTTCAATCACTGACGTTCTATCCAAATTCGTTATTGCAAAAGCAGTTCGTGATTGTACTGCTGATACTGCTCCTCGATTTCTTCAAGAAGAGGTTATCTGTAAATATGGCACACCGAAATGTGTTCTTACAGATAATGGTACTCATTTTACATCAACTATGATGGAACATCTACTCAAACGTCTCGGTATCACTCATTTGTACGCAACACCCTATCATCCTCAAACTAATGGTCAAATTGAGCGTTTCAATAGCACGATGGATGCAAAAATTGCTGCCTTATCTAATCAATATCGATCTGATTGGGATGATAACCTTCCATTTGTCATCTTTAATTATAACACAAGTTATCATTCCACTACTAAAACTATTCCATTCGAACTTATGTATGGACGTTCACCTGTCCTACCATTTGATCTACAAAACCCAAACGTTTCCCTCCAACAGTCATCTCACTATGCTCACGAGGGAAGGTCACCAACTGTTCAATCGCTTTTGAGTCAGAACTATGTGCATCATGTAGGTCCTAATGAGCTATGAATACCCTGAAAAGAGTTCGGGCGGCTAGCCCATTACTGTCGAGATACTGCATTTTTACGATATTGTTAAGCAGAACGACGTAGTCCCCCTCAGGAACCAGAAAAACTGAGTTTGGAGTTTTGACTTGAAACTTTGTACAGAAACAGACCTCAGTGAGAGTAGTTTATTGTGAAAGTTTCAGGCCTTTTGGTTGTTCCTATCCTAGGATACAGCTAAAAAGGGTGTTTTTACACTGCTCGTATACCCTCGACAGGTTCCGATGTGCTTATTTCAGAATAGGAGCAACAAAAAGATCTGAAACTTTCAAAATAAGCCACTCTCATTGAGGTCTGTTTCTGTGCCAAACTTCAAATCAAAATTCAAAACTCAGTTTTTTTGGTGCTCCTGAGGGGGACCACGGCGTTCTGCTTAACAATATCGTAAAAATGCAGTATCTCGACAGTAATGGGCTAGCCGCCCGAACTCTTTTCAGGGTATTCATAGCTCATTAGGACCTACATGATGCACATAGTTCTGACTAAAAAGCGATTGAACAGTTGGTGACCTTCCCTCGTCAGAACATACGTCAATACATATCACATCTAACAAACAATGCGAAAACAAATATCATTCATGCACGACATCAGTACAAATCTAGATATGATACCAATCGCTCAAATCCTACATATTCCATCAACGATTTAGTTCTTATAAAAAATATTCATTCACGTCACAAAGGAGGGGGGACGGTTTGCACGTAAGACGGCCCTAAATAAAAATCATCTCAGAACACGTTATAAAATTGAATTTCATCTTCCTCTAAGCAAGAATAAAGCATCTCGACCTATTTCACACCTTCTCTAGAGAGCTATCCTAGACTTTTCCAACTACGGCAGAAGCATTATCCAGTTCTCAATTACCCTCAGAGGTCAATCGGGTTAGTTAACCAAATCAAACTCATATTACCAGGGGAGATAGACCTTTCCAAGAGCTACAAAATGATCACAAATTGTAAAGGAAAATATGCTGCCATCAAGAATTTCCAAAGATCACACTGTTTTGGTTCAACAGGAAAACCCATCGTTGGGATAGTATCAAGGGGGAAAACACGTACTCCCGAACTCCCGTACTCCCATTGTACTCCCGTACTCCCATTGTACTCCCTGGACTCCGGGAGTACATGGGAGTACAGGGAGTCCAACATAGGGGTGTGCGTTTAACTTTAACTTTAACGTTAAAGCCAAAGTTAAAGTAACATACTTTAACACTGTAACGTGAAAGCAAGGGAGAAATCACGTACTCCCGTACTCCATGTACTCCGCTGTACTCCCGTAGTTCCATTGTACTCTCTGGACTCCGGGAGTACACCGAAGTACAAGGAGTCTGTGAGATACAATTCTTATGTAGGAGACCGTATCATAGGTGCCTTCGTCGACCACTTTAAATATTCCTATTTCTCAAGGAGAAAACCATGCACTCCAGTACTCTCTATACTCCGCTGTACTCCCGTACTTCCGTTGTACTCCCTGGACTCCGGGAGTACAATGGGAGTACATGAGAGCCCAGCAAGGACGAAAACACGTACTCCCGTGCTCCCATTGTACTTCCATACTTCCATTGTACTCTCTGGACTCTGGGAGTACACCGAAGTACAAGAAATCGGTGAGATACAATTCTTATGTAGGACACCGTATCACAGGTACCTTTGTCAACCACTTTAAATATTCCTATTCCTTCTTGAATGGGATACTCATGTCCTCATGACCTATGCTTTGGGGGCACCCATAAGCCCCCATGGCGTATCCTATGGGGTACCCATAAGTTCTTATGACCTATCTCTTTTGGGGGTACCACAAGTCTTCATGGCCTATCCTATGAAGGTACTCATAATTCACCAAGGGCTATTGATGTGTGGTATTGTCAAATTTTCAAGCACTGTCTTGCGGTAGTTCCAGTTACTCTTCAAGCATTATTTCGTGGAGGGATGTCGGATACCGCTAACTATTAAAGAGATATCTAGCGTTAATCGTCATAGATTTTCAAGAGCGTCTAGGTAGGAACGCAAACTGTGATAAGAACGCCACTCACACGCAAGGAGAAAACAGCAGACTCCCAGATTTCCTACTCCTAGGGATCCCTTGAAACTCCCAGGGACCTCTTGGGACTTCCGCGGACTCCTGAGCTTCCCAGGATTTCATGAGATTTTTTCGAATTTCGAGGGACTGCCAGGAATTCCCGGGATTCCCTTGGAACTCTTTTGAATCTTCTCGCTACTTTGGCATATTCCGAAGTAGTAGCACCTACATGCATCATACTGGTCTGACTGTTCAGATCAAAGGTTAAAGGTCAAAGGTTAAACACTAATAAAAAGAAACTAATGTGTAAAGAGCTGCGCTCCTGTATTTTATGGGACTCCTTGGAACTCTTTGAGATTTCTTGGGAGTCCTTGGTACTCCTAGGGACTTCCAGGGACTCGTGGAGTACGGAAGTCTGCTGTTTTCCCATGCTTATAGTACTCCCATAAGATAGCTCATGAGGACTTATGGGTACTTCCATAAGAGAGCCCATGTGAACTTATGAATACCCCTATAAGATACATCGTACTTCCGGGATTTCAAGGATTCCCATTGTACT